TAGGGAGAGGGAGGAAAAAAGAGACAGAGAGGCTGAAAGAGTCATTCTCTGGGAAGATGCTGGGAATCTGGGGATTTCCTTGTAAAGGTCATTGTTACCTAAGTTACTGAGCAAATCCTCAGTGACCACCTACCCTGCCTGGGTTCATGAGACACTGTAAGGACAGCACCTGGCACTCAAAGTGATAATTCCTCTCCTCCCCTCCTCAACTTCCCCAGAGACTCATTCCTCCTGGACTTCCTGAAGTTTCTGGGAACATCAGTAGGATGGTTTTGTCTGCCTGGCCTGACCATGCTGCGGTGTGCATTTCCTTTGCCTATTCTGGTGGTATCTGAGACAAACCCCTTTAAAAGCCCCAAAACAAGAACAGTCACTCCCCCCTCATGGTGACGTGGTCTGCACTTTGCACAGAGCTTTTAGGTGCATTAGTCCCCGAGGCTATCCAGGAGCGCCCCGATGCCACCCCTTGTCTCACCCTGAGGCAGCAGTCAGAGCAGAGGCCAGAATGTGGCTCACTCTTGGAACGGCTGTCGGTCCTCTCCTCCCTGTCCACATCCCCCAAAGCTGCAGAATGTGCTGTTGGAAACAGGACCCGCCCTTCACATCACACACATTAAACTTCTCCGGGTTAGAGGCCAGGACCGCACCCTTTGCGGAGTCTTGAACTAAACGGTCACTTTTAAGATGTTTGTGGTTATAGCAGGGGAGAGAAAGACATGTAGCAGAATAGGACCAGTTAAGTTGCCATGAGTGTGTGCGTTGTGTACTTACACATTTCTAGGTGGTAGATTAGAGATGAAATGTCTCCTCTGAGATGTTGGGTGTTTTTGTTTTTTTATTCCACATTGCCATTTACAAAAGGTTTTCTACAGCGATTCCTTTGTAATCAGGAAAAAGATTTTAAAAATCAAGTGAGCATGCTCATCGGCTAGCATCGAGCTCCCTCGGTCCCTCAGCACCTTTGGTTGCGTCAGACAGATGAGGTTGTAGAGGACTAGGAGCTCCCGTCCTCGCCTGGTCTGTGACTGCAGAGAGCAAAATCAGCACGTTAGCTGCTGTCGCTGTGATGGTGGCGTGGAGTGTCCTCGTCCGCTGGCCTCTTTGGCTTCTTAGTGAGCTGTGTGAAGGACAGAGATGGCTTCCATTGGCGGATGCTTCTGCATTGTCTTTGGGAGATGGTGAAGGATGTCATTCACCACAGCACATGAAGTCCCCTTCCGAAGCAGCCACAGAAGAGATAGTTGCTCTCTGTCCATAGACTTGGGAAAGCTGAGCCCGTCGTGCCCATGCAATATGGATACGTTTCTATCTAAAGCGCTGTATGCGTCCTTGCTTAGACTGCGAGGGGCCACAGAGCTGGATCCACCACTCAGCTTCGGCACACGCATGTGATTTTCTGATGCTTGTCTTTGTGCATGGCCCATTTATCTTCATTCCTTTCTCACTACCTATGCCTGTCTCTGTTTCTTCCTCTTCCCCCTCCCTCCCCTTCTCTGCCTCTTTCTCTGTCTCTCTCCCTCTGTTGTCTCTGTGTCTATCTCCCTCCTTCCCTCCTTCCTTCCTTTTTCACTTCCTATGTGTGTCTCTCCTCTCTGTCTTCCTCTCTCTCTCCCCCTCTCATACACGCATTCATGCACACACACATGCACACACTCATACACCTTTCCCATCTGCATCCTCTTTTTATGGTAGCATTTTTATAAAGCCTCCTCAAATCATTAATGAGAAGAGGCAAAATATCCATCTATATATATAAGAAGCTAATATGCAAAGTGTCCCCATGGGAGTTCGACCAGGAGACCGGGAGTTCTACAGCTTGCTATTACGTGTGCTGACCACCAGGGGACGGCGCGGAATGAAGAAAGACGCCTGTTGGCAGCCAGAAGCCAGGGAAGGGAGGCCCCGGCCAGCAGCCAGAAGGCCCCAATTGGCCCTAATTGCCCAGCCCTAGGGACCCTACCTGTGCACGAATTACATGCACCGGGCCTCTAGTAAATACATAAGACAGTGACAATGAGCCTACTCCTCACCAGTTTGGAGAGCAGTACTCCCAAAAGATGGATCCAGAAGTTTTCTTTCAGTATATTCTATTGAGCTGACACTTGACCACAAAAGAACTTGAGCAGGTTCAGGCTTTCGTGCTACAGGAGTTTGAATTACTGGAAGATGATCAGCTCCTAAAAGGATGCCTTTAGGAACCCCTGTCATTTTTGTCTCTAAGAGGCCTTTGTCTCCACCTTTTCTTTTCTTTTTTGTTACTGTTGTTTCCTGTGTAACACAAGCCTGTGTCTCAAACAATAATGAATTTCCCGGAGGGCAAACGGTACTGTATATGAAATCTATCTCAAACCTGACTTTTAAAAAAGCATCTGGAGAGCATGCCTCACAGACTCCTGGGCCCCGCCCGAAGATCCCAATTCAGTAGGTCTGGTGTGGGGCTCAGGAACTTGGCTTCCTAACAAGCTTTGGAAGGTGAAGCTGCTGGTCGACAGAGTCCAGCTCCAAGTCCTGGCAAGGGACTCCCTCCAGCCACACAGAGGTGGTTGTCTAAATGGCCTTTTGTAGAGCTTATCAAAAGCCTTTTTTAAGGTCTAAATCGAATCAGATTCGCTAGTCTCTAGCCCCTTCATCTTGCCACGTTCACTCCATGACAAGTTTAGTAAGCACAGAGGAGCCAGTTATGTGAATTTCAGCAGACCTTTCCAGTGTCTACTCTCAGCGAGTGCCCAGCCTTTTATCAACCACCCAAGGCTGGGACTTGCAGGTAACTGATCAGCCAAGGCAGTTGGCCCTCGTGTCCTGCAGGCTGCTGCTGGACAGGGATGTGCTGCTGCCAGGAGGAGCAAGGCCGGACGGCAGCCCTGGGTGGACATCTCCACCTGGCTCTGGGCTTCCTGTTTTGTCTTCACATGTGAAAGTAGCTATCCTTAAGGGCTAAAGGGGACATTTGGACTTTTAGTCACACTATACTGAATTTAAGGAGGGAGAGGGAGATTATGTACTAGAGTGGGGGGGGGGTTATCACATATAGGACTTCATTAGCATCTTGGGTTGTCAGCGATGGTAACAGCAACACTAACAGGTGAGTGATGTGTAACAGGCAGTCGAGTACAGTATGGATCAAGCTTTGTCTCATTCAGCCTCAGAGCCGCCCATAAGGCAGGTGGAGTCCCCATCTTGTAGAGTCCCAAGCAGGCTGAAAAGATCAAGTACTTCCTCCAGGTCGCAGAGCCAGGATTCAAACTTGTGCCTCTCTTTCTCCAAAGCCCGTGCTCATAACCACTAAGTCTCTCTCATCTTCTGCATCAAGGATTCTGTTGTAGTTTGAGCCTCTGCTTTTTCCACTGGAATTATGAGATTTCCAAAATTGATACTTCTAGAAGCCATTCATGAATAGAAAGGCAGCAATGTGAGGTTGATACTCAGTGGTGGTCTAGAATCCCACAATATGAAATGGTCTGCCTTTTCTCAAAGAGCAAGAGCTCCAAGAACATTTTTTCCAAAAAATGAGTGGGAAAGACCCACTCCCCAAGTACCCAGAACACAAGCCTAAGAGGACCTTTTGAAAGAAGCAACAGAAACTATCTACCATGTCATCTTGAAAGAGCTACCTATCTCACAGGTTATGTGGACAAAACGAGGCTATTGGCGTCTAATTCGATAAATCCAAAGTGATGCCCTTTGGGGTGGTCCATTGATATGTTCATGTATTTTTCCTTACAGTGCCCCTGGCTGGCTATTTTTATTCCTTCCTGAAAGCCAAGGAAGGAAAACCCTGAAAGGTTTGGTAATGCCCCTGGCTCTTTAAGTCTTTTTTTTTTTAATTGATTTCAGAGAGGAAGGGAGAGGGATAGAGAGATAGAAACATCAGTGAAAGAGAATCATTGATTGGCTGCCTCCCATACGCCCCCCACTGAGGGGGATGGAGCTCGCAACCCAGGCATGTGCCCTTGGCCGGAATCCAGAATCGAACCTGGGACCCTTCAGTCCGCAGGCCAACACTCTATCCACTGAGCCAAACCAACTAGGGCTGCCCCTGGCCCTTGAGAGTTATGCGTGTCAGGGCTGTGAGTAGGACCGGTCTTTCCCCCGACTCTGTTCTCTTTCCCTCCCCACCCCCCTCAAAGCTTTCCCATTACTGTCTGTGCTGCTCCCAGGTGGACTTCTGTGCCTAAGTCATCTTCATGGCATAATCACCCATGCCCACCACCCGAGAAGCCCTGCTACCATTTGCATGTATATCCTTTCTAGCCTTTATGTTTGTTTCAGCACAATCATACTATACAGACCATCTTGAAAATGCACCTAATTTCCAATAATGTATCATGAACATCTTTTTATATCAGTAATGCAAAAGCATCGGTTTAATGGTTATCTAGTACTCTTTTGTACCTCTCTTCTGGTTTCTTGTGTTCAAAACAAATTTTTATGAAGGCTATCTTTAAAATTTGGTCACTGTTGCCCGGCCAGTGTGACTCGGTAGTTGAGCATTGACCTATGAACCAGGAGGTCATGGTTGGATTCCTGGTCAGGGCACATGCCTGCATGGCAGGCTTGATTCCTAGTAGGGGGGCGTGCAGGAGGCAGCCAATCAGTGATTCTCTCTCAGCACTGATATTTCTATCTCTCTCTCCCTCTCTCTTCCTCCCTGAAATCAATATTTTTAATTGTAAAAATAAAATTAAAAATGGTCACTGTCACTTTGCAAAGCAAAATTAGGGTAGTAGGCTTTAAATAGTAAAATGGCTCTGGTGTCTCTGACTCACACAGAATCTGGTGGGGAGGTTGTTTTATTTTCTACAAAGGTAAATAAATAAAGCCCTGCTGGCAAGCACACGATGTAGAAGGCACTAGCCCTGGACTGGCTGGGAGAGAAGTGAGAGCTGTGGAGGGCATGCCGGTACAGACCAGAAATCCCAGCCGGCCCCTCCTACCAGTGGGACCAGCAGATATGTCTTTCTGTACTCTGGATCTGAGCCAAATGTCTTTTCTCTCCCCAGCAAATCCACCTATGGCTGCAGCTGTCGTGTCCTACTTTAATGATTGCCCGGATTCCCACAGTCAGTTCTGCTTCCATGGAACCTGCAGGTTTTTGGTGCAGGAGGACAAGCCAGCATGTGTGTAAGTGTCCCCTGGTGTCCTGGGGTTCTGGGGCGGGGGGCAGCCCGGCAAACAATTCAAAGAACATTTCCCTCCACGAGACTCCTGGAGCCTGACATGTTGGCGGGTCAAAACCCAGCTGGTGTAAAAGCCCAGTCCAGAGTTACTGAGGCAGAACCTCCTGGGAGCCTGGAGCCTGGTAATCTGCATTTTAATAAGCATCTCAAATAACTACTACTCGGTTCAGCAAAGTCTGAAAATTCCTGGGTTCAAGTTTAATTCACAACTTAGAAATGTTGGACGGCAAGGCACTGGGTTGGATCTTTAGAGTAGCCAGAGTCTCTAAGATGAGGTCTCTGCCCTGTAGCATCTTTACATGCAGCTAATAAGCAGAAGTACATGCAAAGGGTTAGTGCATATAAGTGGCAACAGAACAAGGAAGAGCCTGGAAATAAAGACGCACGCCAGGGCCCGGCGGTTTCCACACTAGGCTGAGCCCCCTGCAGCGGCTTCGTAAAGAATACCTGAGCCCCGCCCCAACCTCCTGAATCAGAATCTGTAGGAATGCGACCCGGGAGTCACATTAGTTAAGAGCCACCAGCCATGGTTAGCCGGACTGGGGAAGAAAGGCTCTGAGGAAAGCTTCCCAGAGCAGGTTTGGGGCTGTGCTGGTGGGGAAAACAGAGGTTACTCCAGGCTTGAGTGTCAGGGACCTGCTTTAACAGGTCAGAGCGGCTACAGCAGGGAGGAGATGAGGCTGAAGATGAAGGGGAGGCCAGGGCCTGTTGGAGATGAGCCTTTATTCTGTAGGCAGTGAGAGCCGTCGGTTTTGGAAAGGGATATTTTAAGAAAATTGATCTGTCCATACTAGAAAACTGTTAGGTGGCCTTACGCCCAACATGGCACTGTTGATATTTGGGGCTGGATACTCCTTTGTTGCAGGGGCTGATCTGAGCATTGAAGGATGTTAGCAACATCCCTGGCCTCTACCGACCAGATGCCAGCCAGTAGCACCACCACTTCACAGTCATGACCATCAAAAATGTCTCCAGATATTGCCAAATGTCCCGATGCAGACGGCAAAACCACCCTTTCCCCCCTTAAGAGCCACCCATATGGGTAACTTCACCCATATGAAGTTACCATTCTAAAGGTTGAAAATGGTTGAAAGTCAGCAAATTCAACGTAATAGTTCCAGTAAATAATACTAAATGTTAATAAAAGCTAGCATTTGTTGAGCTTTTGTTCATGCCAATCACCATTCTAAGCACAATCTGTGTGTTAACTCATGCAATCCTCATAATGATCTCGTGACGTAAGCACAGTCAGGCTGAGTCCATAACCATGGTGCTTAAGGATGTCAGATGTGCCCCAGACTCCTTCGCCCTCATTAGGGAAGCCCCGCTCACCTTACTTGACCCCCTGGAGTGAAGAGAGGCCCCAGTTTTGAGTGTTGTATGACAGTGACAGTGTTGTGTCGCTGTGGTCATGTTGATTAGTTGAAGAGAATAAAGGGAGTAAGATTTTTTTTAAAAAAAAAGAAATATCAAGTGCATTAGCCAGGAGAGCTGTGGCAGTAAGTGGTAGTTGGTAGGGCTTTCTGCTTCCTGAGGTGTGGCTGTGTGAACTGAGCAGGCCCCTTGGGGTGCCTCCGAGTCTCACCTGGAGAGGCACACTGGCCACCTTCCTCCAGGAGGAAGGACTGTGTGAGGCTCCCAGGTCATGTCTATAGAGCTAGGAGCCCTTCCCACCCCATAAATACAAAGCACAATGATGATAATAGTCACAGTCATTATTCATTATTATCATTCTCATTAAGGTACACAGAGGGGCCCCTGGGGGACTGATGGGGTTGTTTTTGTTAGCAGCCTGGTCATTGTGGAAAAACACTGGCCCTGGAGGAAGTGTTGCCTCTTGGCCCAGATATCAGGAAAGCTCCCAGGACAGCAGGTAGAAGGCATTCTCCCCTCCAGGTACCCAGTGCAGGACCTCAGGAGGCTGCCCCTGGCTGTGCATTGAGAAGATCATCTTCAGAAAGAGAGGGCAAGTCTTTGCTGAGTTCTGATCAATTGTGTCCAAAGCTCAGTTTTTTCCTTCCCACTAGATAGGGGGGCGGGGGGCTGGTGTAAACTTTCTGAGAGCTGGCAGGCTCCAGCCTGGGTCAGCAGTTAAGCCAAAGCGATAACCTCATGTGTAGCTAAGACCCCTAGCGCTGGAGGAAGCCTTCTCTTGTTCTCCTCAGTCTGGATCCCAAGCCCCGCTCTTGGCCCAGGGAGATACTTGTCCCTCACATTTACACACCATTACATTGCTCTCTCTTCTCCATTCACATTATAAATATTACTATGTAGTAATCTCTCAATAAAGGCCATAGCTAGTGCCAGGCATGGCCACAGTACACCACATACAGTGGCTCATGGAGTCCTGACAGCTTCCCTTTCAAGTAGGGATTCTGGCTTTTATTTTATAAATGAGAAAACCGAGCCAGCCCAGGGATTTTAAGCAACTTGCCCCAAGTCCCAGGGCTTGTAAGTGGTAGAGCTGGGAACCAGGTGGTCAATTCCACCCCAAAACCCATGTTTTCAGCCACTGCCCCGGAGGGCAGGCTGCCTCAGCCTCACAAAGTTCACCTGAGATCACGGAGCTCTTTGGTTTCCAGGAAAGGTGTTGGCACCTTCTCCCTGCAGGTAAACCTTCCTCCAGAGAAAGGCCAGAGTCACTTCCAAGCTGGTTGCCGTGATCACAGACTCCTAAGGAGTCCTTCCTGTGGGCCCAGTGTGGGGTCTATGGAAACAGCCAAGACAGTTTTGCAGTTTGGGAAAGCTGGCCTTCTGTGGGGAGGCACAGCCGTGCAAGCAATGACCAGTTTCCCCACTGGATCTTGGTGGCAGTCAGCCCACAGACATGGTTTATGTGGCAGTAAATGACAACCCACGTTGTTCTTTGGTGGTTTTACTTAGTTGTCAGCATTTTGGAAGTCAGGTTTTACATCTCCATGCACAGGCCCAGCTTCTCTAAGTAAACACAGGGCTTGCCCTCTCCAGCTCTCCAGTTTCCACTTCTGTGCAACAGGTGCTTGTAAGCTCGGTGAGGACAGGACCACACCTTATACCTGTTGTATTTATAGTACCTAGAAGATGTTCTCATTAATCAATTCCCACTAGACCAGAATCTCAGCCCATACAGAGAAAGCAGAACATTCTGTCCCTGATCCTACGACCTGCCCCAGCTTTGGGGCGCTGACAAACACATTCTGGTCAATAAAACTGACTTACCTGAAGTAAGGCCTCATCTTTCATGGCCTTATAAAGAAAACCCACAGCGACCCAAGATCATGGTCTCAAAAGAGGGAGCTCTTTCTATAGTACTGTCATCCTTAAGCTTTGGATTCCATAAGACCAATAAATAGTCTTTAGGTTTCCAGAGAATCTCAAATGACACCTCACACTAAACTATGAGGTCAAACAAAGCAGAGATAGCCAAAGGTAGTGAAAGCTGGCCTTAAACATTTATGCTTCAGATGAACCCTAAATTTCTATTGTATGTCTCCCTTTAATAAAACTCTGCTGGTACCCAACCACATCAGGAAACAAGTGGGAAAAGAATTCCCAAGACAGTAAAGCCATAGAAATGCGAGCTCAGGACTCGCACATTATTTTCCCTGAGGCAGATTCCATACTGTTGGTCTGCTGCCTGCAGAAGCTTTCAAACAAAGGAAAACAGTTGAAGGAAGCCACCCAAGCGACACATTTTAAGGGTTCTCGTGTCAGCAGCCAGTGGCAACTAGTTTGAAGGTTAAAGTTTCTCACCTGTTCAAAACAGCTCCTCCTTCCTCCGTGACTGAATTCCCTGACAGCTTTCCCACAGCAAAGTGTGAAAACAGAGCCCTCTCGGCCAAGGAAAACATTCCATATGACCCGGCCACAGCACATTCCGGTGGGACCTGAACAGAGTCAAACACCAGAGAAAAGTGATTGCCCCGTGTGACCAGGAACACACCTCCCAAGAGACCAGGGTTGAGAGGTTTACTTGGTGCTTGAGCCACTTTATGTAGATCAATTCTCACTTCAACAGCCAGCAGGTGGTGGGCCCCTGGGTGAAGAAGTTATGACATCACTACCATCCACATGTCTGGAGAAAGTGTATGTCCTCATTCTCTGTCTACTCCGCCAGAAGCAGATACTGAGGGTCACACCCCAGGTGGGATAGCACAGCAGTTAAAGGCACAGATTTGAAGGTCAGACAGACCTGAGTCTCAAGTGACTTACCCCCATTAAGCCTCAGTTTCTTTGTGTATAAAATGGGGACATTAGTACTCCACAGGATTGTGATGAGGACCCAGTGGCCATAATGCAGATAGAGCTATTGCTGTTCAAGACAAGAGACATTAACAAAACAGCCAAGGCTATTTAAAGTGATTTGTTTCTCAGTCTCTCTAGCCACGTTTCCCTTTAAAATATTTTTATTGATTTCAAGAGGAAGGGAGAAGGAGAGATAGAAACATCAATGATGAGAGAGAATCACTCATTGGCTGCCTTCTGCACACCCCCTACTGAGGATTGAGCCTGTAACCCAGGCATGCACCCTTAACCAGAATGAAACCTGGGACCCTTCAGTCTGCAGGCTGATGCTCTATCCACTGAGCCAAACTGACTAGGGCTCAAGCCACATTTCAAGCACCCAATACCTCTAGAGGCTGATGTGCTAGACATCATAGATAGAGACTGTTGCCATCATCTCAGAAAGTTCTATGACACAGCGCTGGAGAACATTCAAGCCCAGTTCCCAGCAGAGCATAAGAGCAGTTGGCAACAGGACTAACTCCACTGTGATCAGGTTAGTGTTGCCATTACCACAGCTGAAGGACATTGAAAGATTCTGCTGAAAGAAGCAGTGAAAATCAGGTAGACCATGGTACCAGGTCTATCCCATGAGGCCTGTAAATCAGAGCTGCAAAGGAAGTCTTTACTCCATCCAGCCCACTCCTCCCGAGCCCCAGAAGCAGAGAGGCTATAGAACAT